TTATTTATTTAACTATTTATGGGGGGATTTTTAATTGTTGATGGGGTTTCTGATTTTAATTGTGAGCTGCCCAGAGTGACCCATTAGGGAGAGATGGGCAACATACAAATTTATAAAAAGATAGATAGATAGATAGATAGATAGATAGATAGATAGATAGATAGATAGATAGATAGATAGATTTAGAGAGCTGATATCCAGCTTGGGGGCAGACTTTCTAATATCATAATACAATTAATAACAAACACCGATAAAAATTAAAAAACACTATTTAAAATGCCTGATTGGACAAAAAACATGTTTCCGTGCCATAAAAGAATATTGTAAAAAGGACAACAGGTGGCTCTGTTTGGAAGGCATTCAAAAGGGAACAGTGGGTGAGAAGACTCTTCCCTTTATTTTTAAGTAGAATGCATGATTAAAAAACATCTAGAGCAGAACTTCTGCAGAAGATCTCTTTTGATGTATAGTAACAGATGCTCTCTCACTTACCTGAAGCTATTTAGGGTTTCAGACATAAGTATCAGAAACAAAAAGGAAACCAATGAACCAGCTGAGGTTTGCAAATCATCTTCATGCTCCTAATATATCAATAAAACTGGGAAGCCACCAGAACATAGATTCCCAGAGCTCAAATGTCCTTGACCAGAAATAGCTGCTGTTGATTGTATTGAAAATACCTTATTGTTAAGTTCTCCATGATTTCTGGAAAATGTTCCAGTTCCTTGCTGAGCTCCTCAAAGGTTATGGATCCACTATTGTCAGAGTCTGCTGACTCAAAAAGAGCCATTGTCAGGTCATCTAGCTTCTTCTCAGGCAAAGATATTGAGCTCTCTTTCAGACATGATTTTAAGACTATACGTAATTCATCTGGTTCAATGGACCCACCACCTACAAAGAAAAAAAAATCCACTTGGCTTGGTGTAAGTTACCATGACAGGTCAGATCTAAGATTTTGCTATGGAGGAGGAGGAGGAGGAGGAGGAGGAGGAGGAGGCGGCGG